TTCAGCATGTTCCTCCAGCACCTCATGACCCTTCCAAACCTCCCCATGAGGGCTGTCTACACCTGCTGCCAATTGCCCCCCAACCAAACCCATGATAAGTTTCTGCTTAATTTAATGCAATAGGAGGCCACATTAACCTATTAACCATTCTGTGGTACCCCGATTTAAGAGGTAGTTCTAGGATCATCAGCTGACAGGAGGCAGAGAGACAGGGCTTCCATACAGCCAGCTTCTATAGATCCCCTGGGATCCACTGGTTTCTTTTGTGGGGGGACCAAAATCCTACTCATTCTGTAAGGGGGCAACCCCTATCCCTATCTGTCTCTTCTCGCCTTCCCAGAGAATGATGCTGTGAAACCTCTCAAAGATTCCAGACTCCTACCCAGCCTAGCAGAGTGGGATGTTCTTACCCCTAATGAAAAATCAGGTGAATCCCTGAGGGAAATCAATTCAGGAGAGAGAATACACAGAACAGGGGCAGGTCAACATTTGTCATCCGTTTTTTGTCCTCAAATGGAAAATTGGGGTTTCCACTAAACAAACATTTTCATAGACAGCATCTGTTTTCCTTGAATATTTTCCATTTTTCATCAGAAAACTGAAACCCCCCCCAAACCAAATACATTTTTGGTTTTCAGCAACTGAAAATTTCTTCCATTTTCAACAAAATGTCAAAAAATTCTGTGGAAAGTGTTGATAAAAAATGAAACAAAACTGTTTCCTCTGATATTTTCCATTGAAACACCCACCCTTCTCTTCCCCATTTTCTGACCAGCTCTACCTCAAACCGTTTTAGCACGGAGACCTGCATTGGCAAGTTGCTGCAAGCCCAACTGCCATACCTAATTTGAACATATGATGGGGGAACAAGTGGAAGGGAGAGAGAAAAAAACATACTGAAAACAACATAGGTCAAGATCATGTTCTATTATAAAAATGAAACAAAAGAAACCATGAAGTGAGGCCAGAGAGGAAAGAAAGTCTAATAAACAATATTCAAAATATATTACATGGAAAGAAGGTTAACAACATTGCAGTTAAATATAATGCACTGTAAGCAGTACACAATTGCTTTATCCCTTTAAATACCTGGGAGAGTGGCTTTGGTATGGTGTGGTAGTACAGATACTTTTTGCCCTAACTAATAGGCTTATTCCTCAGGCTAATATGTGAGAGGTAAATTTTTCGAACACCGGCTTAAAAAACCCCACAGAAAGCCAGATCTGGCCTCTGCTACAGCCCCTTTCTGCCAATTCAGCAGCATTCAGAGGCTGTAAGTGGTGCAGAATAGTAGCTAGAGGAATTTTCCCAGTGCACATGGCTCTGTACTGATTCCCTTGCAGCTCCTGGTTTAGGGGCATGCTGGTGATTAAAGGAGGTTAGTGGGGTGAGAGAATGACTGGAACATGTTGGGCATGTCTTCACTGCAAATGAATGGTGTATTCTTAACTAAAGCTAACTAACTCCTGTTAAAATAGCAGTCAAGACAAAGCAACTCAGCTTTTAACTCAAGTTAGCAGGTCAAATTCCACCCCAGGCTCACTATGGGCTTTAATTTGAGCTGATAACCCGAGTTAAAAGATGAGATGCCATGTCTTCACTGCTGTTTTAATCCAAGTTAGCTAATGCAAGGAAGGTAACCCAAATTAAGAATACAGCTTTTTTTGGCAGTGACAATGTATCCTCTAGGGTCTGGCAATCCTGAGCTACTGAGCTGTGTATGACTTTGTGGCAGAAGCGAGCACCTCAGTCAGACCTTTCAGCCTGAAAGCAGCAGCTACCACTATCATCATCTTGGTGAATGTGAGCCATATTGATGGGGTTGTGCAGATATGCATCCAGGAGAACTCCATACTCCCCTCCTCACCCCCAGGAGGGATCCTGGGCACAGGAAGGAAGGAAGAAACCAACTTGTTTGAGGTCCAGTGTGGGCCAACAACTGCAAGAAGTCTTAGAAATTAGTATATATAATGAGTACCTGTTCCATCGTGCCTCTCTAGCAGGAACTAAGTTATTGTTCTGCTCTCCCCATGTGACATTGAATCTCCTAGATTACCTAGAGTTTGAGCAGGTCTTTGGAAATGAGTAAAAGAAGAAATAAACCTTGCCTGGGCATTTTAAAACTCAGCTGAGTAACTAAGGAAAATTCTCACCAAGACCCCATAATCCTACGTTGTGTGGTCCCATACCTCTCTCTCTTTTTTGTTGTTGTTGTTAATTTATTTATTTGGAAGGACTTTTAGCTTCCTGTTGTAGGCCCATGCCACTTCAGATGGAGTAAACCCTATCACCAGAGCCTCCTCTAGCCCCATAGCCATGACTTCTTCCACCCCGGAGAGCAGTGTCATGTGACTGGGATGTGGGTGGTCATGCCTAGTGTCAGGGCAGGAGCAATCTCTAGTGGGTAGAACAGGAGTCAGAAGCAAAGAATTAGAGCCATGGATCACTGCTGCAGTCAGAGCCCACTTTCAGAACCAGAGTCTAAAGCCAGAGCCAAGGGTCAGAGGTCAGGAACCAGAGCTGAGTGTCAGAACTGGGTTACCTGCAGTGAGGCAAGGCTGGAGCTATCACAGTCAAGCACAAATGCTTTGAGCAGCCACTAAACAACAAGCTACTGCTGGGCTTACGAGCTGGTCTGCTGACTCTTCCAACCAGTATGGGGCTGCAACCAGTCAGACAACCTATTACAGGCCAGCCATGCTTATTAGGTTGCCTGAAGATTGGCTCTGCTGCAGACCCAGATTCCTCACACAGAAAACCAAGGGAATGTGAAAAACCCATGGCAGAACAAGGACTGCCTGTTCTCCTGCCTCAGAGTCCTGGAGTGCCAATGCGTTCTGTCTGTGTGAAAGAAATGAAAGACGCAGATCCTGAAAGAGGCTCTGGGCACCAGAAGTGCCAGTAAAGCATTTTCATTCAAGGTCTTTAAGATCAGAGTATGTTCCTGAATAGCAGAGAACACATGAAGGGCTTCACACACCAGCGACCAGGCCCACAGACAGACAAGCTTTGAGGAAGAGACAGACACTGCCATAGACTGAAAAATGATCCTGATTAAATCATAAATAACATCACACAGGAAAGTGAGGGCTGCCTACAGTAGGGCAGGTGTACACTTTTTTTTTTTTAAATATGGAGATATATCTATCTCATAGAGCTGGAAGGGACCCTGAAAGGTCATTGAGTCCAGCCCCCTACCTTCACTAGCAGGACCAAGTACTGATTTTTTGCCCCAGATCCCTAAGTGGCTCCCTCAAGGATTGAACTCACAATGCTAGGTTTAGCTGGCCAATGTGCAACCACTGAGCTATCCCTCCCCGCACCATATTTTATCCAGAGTCAAGTTTCTGAATCCGTCTTACAGCTGCCCTGGCTGCCTAAAACGCATGCGCAGGTATCTGGACTGAAATCCTATAGCAAATGTATTTTCAAGGCAGAATCACTTTCCACCCTGCAAGGGGGAAAATTCTGTCCCCATTGAAGTCAATGGGAGATTTGCCACTGATACTTGGAGCCAGGATTTCACCCAAGATTCCTGAGAACATCTACTCCCTCTGTTAGCAGAGTGGTATTCTTAGCTATCTTGCTTATCTGAACATCCACTTCTAGAGAAACCAAGTAAGTCATACAGCTGTACCTTTGGATAGCACATAAATCTCTAGGGAAGCCATGGAACCACAAAATTCAAAGTTACAAGTTTCCACAGCAACTGTAATTCTGCATCCTTGAACACTAAGGCCCAGACCATGCAAACAATCATGCACATACTTAACTTCATGTACGTAAGTGGACACATTGAGTTCATGTTTATAGGATGAGGGCCAAACTTAAAGCTTACATACACAGTAGAACAAAATATTATATGTCTGAGAGCCAAGTTACAGTGATTGTAGGATCCATAACTTCTTAGTCCATTATTTTTGTGCATTTTCTTATCCACCACAATGTATTTGCATTTGCAAGATTTTTCTAAGTGGAAACAAGTTGTTCACCTAACTCCAAAACAGCTCAATAGATGTTGCTCAAACCTTCAAAAATACTCCCCTTTAGACCAAACATAAAATGTTAGCCCAAATGGTCTAGCTTTAAGATGTTATGAGCAACTGGAAAGAGGGAGTTTCATTTTAATGATCCTTAATTGTAGTACCATGCCCATCAATGCTAGTTTGTATTTATAACTCTGAAAAATACCAAAAATATAGTTGGTTTTACAATTACATGGTACAACACAAAAGATGCAGGGATCATTATAATAAAAACATTTATTTCACTGAGTGGTTTGGGGCATCTGGAAACCATTTCATATTTGAATGATAATGACCTTTCCTTCCTTGCATTTCAAGCCATCCTGTTACTTCACAGTGCTTTTGTTCCTGCACTCCTTGCACAAAACTTAGATTCAAGTCTCCTTATAATTAAAATGATCTAATAAAATAATTATCTGAAAAATTATTTATTCTTTATTCAAAAAGTGCCACTCACCAGTTAATTGTTTCATTTAGTTAAATTAACCCATAATATGTTCAATTTTCAAACTCATACTCAATACATTTTTGGTTCAGTTATGCCGCATACAAGGCTGAGCCATGTTAGGGAAAGGATAGGAAGGCCATTGCCAGGGCACTGGTGTCAGGAGACACTGAGTCCTTTGAAAGGCATAACGCCTCCTTAGCACTGGGGAGAACGTGGTAGAGAGCAGTTCTTGTTACAGCTTTAAAACATGCAAAGGCATTCCCCCCACACAGCCAGCCTAGGTGGGGTTTACGGGCAAGGGGAAGGGTCAGGGCCTCCCCCATGCTGTGCCCAGAAGCACTCTTTCTGGGGCCAGTCAGCACTAACAGATATACTAGCCATCCTGTCAAGCTTGTACTTCCCACTGTGGGGAGACAGATTAAGCCTCTCCTGTGTGGGTGCACTGTGGAAGGAAGGGACTCCCTGCAGCTTATCTCCCTGGTACCATATCCACGCAGAGGGAGGCATAGTTGAATATGATACTTAACTGTTTCTGAACAGGTTTCCTCCTTTTCCTCCCAGCATACAGACATTCCCCTGGTGGAATCATTGTCCTGGCACTGAAACAGAAAAGCAATAGGTGGTTCATTTTCAGAGTTTTCAGTGTTTCATACCACTTCACAAAATGACAAAACCCAGGAAATTCAATTAAAGCCAGTGCTCGTTCCTTAAACCATGGCATTATGTAAAGCTAAAAGGCACCGTGACATTAGTTAAGAAAGAAGTGTCAGGCTTCATCCTGTTTCTTAGTTTAATATTATTAGAATATTGATGTTTATATTTAATTTTCATGTTTCATTAAACCATCAAAAAATGGTATAAAATGGGTATAAAATACATCTTGCTTATTAGAGAGCCTGAAATAGACTTCTTTCTTCCTTTAAAAAAAAATCTCTTGGCCAATATATATTCTAATTTCCTGGCCAATATATATTTAGGGTCAATAATAATAAATAATATTATATATCATCTTCCATGAGGAAGGATCCCACAACTCTTGAAATATACAGGAATAATTTCTTCCTTTACTGAAATTGTGCTAAGCAGGATGCAATTACTGAAACTGGAATTTGTCCAGGTCCTCACATTTAACATCTTCTACACTCTTAGAAAGGTCATTGGGTCCAGTGCCTAGAGCATTCGCCAGAGATAGATTCAATCCCCAGCTTTGTGACTGTAGGCAAGTTACTTCGATGCTTGTTCTGTCTTTTCTATTTAGACTGCAAGCTCTTTGGAGCAGGAGTTATGTCTCAGTGTTTGTACAGTGATTAGCATAATGGGGCCCTGATCTGAGTTCAGGCCTGGTGGGCTTGCTACTGTTACCACTACTAAAGCATCTGGAGAGCTTTAATGACCACAAGTAGTCACAACATTAGGTCTGCATCTTGTAGTCCCTCCAGCAGCACAGAACCCCTCCTAGCAATATGATGGGTTGTGGATTCAAGTGACAGCTGAAACAGAAGAGTGCCACATATTGAATCACAAACACCACTTCATGCAGTACCAAGAGGTTTTTTTTTTGGAAGCCACCCATCCAAATATTGACCCAGCTTGCCTTTTCTTAGCTGGGGAAGAGCACAGGCCCAGCTGGTAGGAGCACACATTATGCATGTAATAATTTCAAATATTTAATATTTTAAATGCCTATTTGAGTACCCTTTTTCTATAGCACATCCAGTTTACAGTCTGGAGACTGACTGAATAGTTCAATGACAAAAAAACCCTAACAAATAAAACAGTATTAAAGCCCAAGGCTGCAAAACCTTCCACACTTATCTACATGTGTGAGTAAAGTTACATGAGGAAGTATGCAGTATTGGACCCACAGTCAGCAAGTTCTCTTCCCCAAGACTTATTCCTGAGGGTTACCTAGGTCTGTCTACCCTGCAATTGAATGTGTGATTGTAGTGCTGGTAGGTATACTTGTGGTAGCTTTAATCTATCTAATGCAGGTACCAATTGTAGTGAAGATGTGGTGGCAAGGGCTTCACCATGGGCTAGCTGCCGCAGTACAAGTCCACCAGGGACCCTGGGAAAATATTCTGGTGGCTGACGCACAGCGGAATCCATGACACCACATCTGCACTACTATTTTTACCCATATGAGCTAGATTAAAGCTCGTGTGAGTATGCCTACCCACGCTACAATTGCACCTTCATTCGTGCTGTAGACATACCCTAAATAACATACCCTAAATTGCAGTGTAGATGTACCTGTGACAAAATGACAATATCCTGAACAATCCTTATGGAATTAAGATAACCTTTATTGAATTAAGTTAAATGTTATTGAATTAGGGTTAATACCTTTGGGATATAATACATTAAAATGCAGTTATGGATGTGTTATTGTGGCATTGTATGTATCTTCTCTAGTGGAAGAAAGATGCTAATATACTTCCATCCTTATCAACCCTTTGAAGCCACCTCCCTGGAGAGGATTCTCCAAAGACCCACAGACAAAGAAAGTGTTTTTTAAATAAATAGCCTGGTTTTACCTGGCTCAGGGCCTTCTTCTTGATCCAGCAAATGGACAGGCCCCCTGGTGCAGGAAGAGCCCCAATACTTTGGAAAGGGTTGGAAGGACTGGGCTTACTGACACCCCATAAGACTGAGTACTTGTTCTGAGTTGAAGCTGTAATGAACCACGAGGACTCCCGTTGGGTGGGGATTTGAAGGACTCCTCCTGCCAGAATCCATGTTAGAGCTGGCGGGATCTCCAGTAAGCTTATTAGCAAGCATGTAGATTTTTTTTATTGTTTTTAGTATGTTTTCTCTGTAGTGCTTTTTACCTTAAGAATAAAATAGGCTTGCATAGAAAGACCTGTGTGGTACTTAGAACTGTAGTAATTACATCTACTATCCGTCTCTGACAAGAAAGCAAGCAGGTGTCCTTGAGCAACCTGTCTGTGTTTGGAATAACATGGTGAAGGCAGGGAACTGTGCAGCCTAGAGATATCATGGTTAAGGCTGTGTATCTGTCACGGAGGTCACGGAAGAACACTCGGGCAGCCCCTAGGCCAGCAGCAATTTGGGTGTGGGTGGGGGCTCAGGGGTGGGGCAGAGGCTTGGAGTCTGGGGGGGCGGGGGAAGGCTCCTCAGAAGCAGCTGGCATGACCCTGCAACTCCTGACCTAGGTGGAGGGGCCAGGGGGCTCTGCGCGCTGTCTCTTTGCAGACACTGCCCCTGCAGCTCCCATTGGCTGCGGTTCCTAGCCAATGGGACCTGCGGAACCAGAGCTCGGGGGTGGGGACAGCGCAAGATGTTGTCCCCCCCCCCCGTGGCTTTCCCTCCCCCTAGGAGCTGCTGGGACACATGGAGCCGGGTAGGGAGCCTACCAGCCCCGCCAACCGCCCCTCTGCCCAGCACCAGTGGGGGTCCCAGGCCGCACGCTGCTGCCCACCCCCTCATCCCAGTGCCAGCTGGGGTCCTGGGCCACACACACCCCCATGGCGCCCCCAGACCACCCCCTTCCAGAACACCTGGGGGCCCCAGCACAAGTTTTAGTTACAGGTAAATAGTACAAGTCATGGACAGGTCATGGGCCATGAATTTTTGTTTACTGCCCATGACCTGTCCATGACTTTTACTAAAAATACCCGTGACTAAAACGTAGCCTTAATCATGGTCAGAAGGGAGAGAGATGTGTGTCTCCACCCAAGAGAGGTGATAGCCAGGGAAGCCAGAAGCCTGAGAGTTTGTCCCTTTGCTGGACCACTGAGGGGAAACAGAGGTGCAATTGCCCTGGAATGTGACAGTATCCTTAGAGGGCTGTGTTTACACAACAATTAAAAAAAAAGTTCAGCCTAAACCAAAACTAAACAGAAAAATGACACAGTGTGGGATTCAAACCTACACCACTTGAGGGGTGTAGAGCCTGAGAGTAGAAGTCCTTCCCCACTGGCTTTCAACTAGACACCCTTATACACCTTCCCTTATGCAAAGGCAGGGAGAAGCCGAGGCGCTGCACTTAATCTGTTTCACAAAGATCAGACAGTGTACTTCTTGCACTGTCACACAGCCCCTTTCTGCTTTTTCTCTATTTAGGTGTTTGACTAAACTGGGTACTAAAGTGAACTTTAATCAAGCTGGAAAAGGCATAACAAGAATCATTGGCTGGAAGCTGATACCAGGCAAATTCATATTGGAAATTAGGCACAACCTTTTAACAGTGAAAGTGATACCCTTTGGAACAAATTACCAAGGGACGGAGTAGATTCTCCATCTCTTGATGTCTTGAAATCAACACTGGATGCCTTTCTGCAAGATATGCTTTAGCCAAACACAAGTTATTGGGGTAAATAAGGAGATGACTGGGTGAAATTTAATGACTTGAGTTACACCTGAGGTCCGACTAAGTGATCTAATAGGTCCTTCGGGCCTTCAAATCAATTAATCATTTTTTGTCTGTGCTCTTGTCAGCCACATAGAAGTACAATTTAAACAGCACTGTTTAGAGGAAGAAGTTTGTGAGTCATAAATTCGAGTTCGAATCCTGTCCCTTCTACTAATTGGCCGTATAAACTCGGGAACAAAGAATGTAGGTCAAACTTAAAGAATGGGGGACTTTATTCTGGGGAGCAGTGACTTTGAAAAAGATTTGAGGGTCATGGTGGATAATCAGCTGAACATGAGCTCCGAATGAGATACTATTACCAAAAGGGCTAATGCAATCCTTGAATGTATAAACAGGGGAATATTGTGTAGGAACAGGGAGGTTTTATTACCTCCATATTTGGCACTGGTGCAACCACTAGTGGAATACTGTATCCAGTTTTGGTATCCACACTTCAAGAAAGATGTTGAAAACCTGGAGAGGGCTCAGAGAAACGCCATGAGAATGATTAAAGGATTGAAAAGGAGTCTTGTAGTGGCAGAATCAAGGAGCTCAATGTATTTAGCTTATCAAAGAGAAGGTTAGGGGATGATTTGACCACAGTGTATAAAAATACATACTTTCAGGAACAGAAATCTGATAATACAGGGCTCGTCCAATATTTAAGCTCATCCAAAACATCCCATTATAAGACCCAAGTTTTGGTTGTTTATAACTTTGTCCAACTTTAACCAGTTGGACTGAGATTTCCCATGCCAGGGATCTGCCTCAGTCTGAATTTTTTAGAAAACTTCACCAAAAATGGTTCAGCCATTTCCAAGAATGAGGTTAGAGTAAAATATGTTGTTTTGTTCATGTTAGAAAGTTAGTAAAACCATTTCATTGAGAAGCTCTAGCACCTCCATGCTTGGGAGCAGGGACTTAAAGTTTGGCAGGGGTGTCAGGGATGTACCTTTAGCCATCCTCATGAAAATGTGTCCAAATTTGGCCCTGTTACGAGCCTCTAAAAAATAAGTTTGCACATGCTCAAGAGACTTATTTAGATAGCAGCTAAATTCTCTGAATATTCTGTATGCAATCAGATGCTTCATTGCCTCACAACTCCTATAAGCGACTCCACTGTGCATACGCCAGCCCCACACAGCCATTAAGAATGCTCCATCCCAGAGCAGCAGGGGATGAACAAGTCTTTCCCTGCAGGACTCCTCCCACAC